GCAGCTGATCACATGACCTGAGGAGCAGCTGATCACATGACCTGAGGGATCCAGAGGGTGTGTATGGATGCAGCTGCTTGGACAGATGGAGCAGGGCCAGTCCATTAAGAGCTTTAAAAACAAATAAAATAATTTAAAATGAATCCTGGAATGTCTGGGCAGCCAGTGCAGGGAGGATAAAACAGGAGAGACGTGGTCAAAGCTTCAGTTAAAAGCCGTGCAGCAGCGTTCTGGACCCTCTGACGCAGAGAGACACACGAGTCACTGGTTCCTGTAGAGTGTTACAGTCGTCCAGCTGAGAGGTCACAAAGACCTGAACTACTGTTTGAAACGCTGCTGAGAAAGAATCAGCTTCACTTCAGCTGCCTCAGATGGAACAAACTGGTTTTAACTGCTCTGACGTGGGTTTTAGTCCAGCATCAACTTTGCATTGGATTAGTAGAAAACCAATGAAGTGGATGTCATTACTTACTTTTATTGTGCTGAAGTGAAGCCAAACTGTATTTTCTACGTATTTTTTTATTTTATTTCATTCTCACGCTCAAGTCGGACTCATGCGCAGGTGACACTGAGTGTAGTTCAGTTACAGAGGCTGTCCAAAGTAAACCAGCAAAATAAATCAAACCAAAAACACTTTCTCAAATGAACTCAGAATCAGAATAAACTTTATTGGCATTGCACCGAGATACAACAGACGCCTTTCTGTCTTCTGTCTGTCTATAATTAAAAGTGAGCCATGCAAATTTACGTAGTTCTTGTTATTCAGTACCCCTGAAGAAGCTCTCAGGGCCCCTGGTTTATCCATGCATCTATTCTGATTCTAAAAGACACGGCAGGAACAGGTTTATGGGAATTTGATCAAGTTTAGCACAATGTTTAGTTTTTAACACATTTAACTTTGAAGGGAGAGGTCAAGACTTCTGTGGTCTGAGTATCTTAAACTTTAAACAAATATAGAACAGGATGAGCTGAGGTCAGGTAATTTAAACTACGATGTTCGCCGATGACAACCACGGTAGTGAGAGTAGGGAGCAGGTGGAAGAGAGCCTGGGGAGGTGGAGGTTGTCTCTGCATAGAATAGGAGTGAAAGTCAGTAGAAGTGAGACAGAATTCATGAATGTGAGAGAGCGGGAGACAGGTGGAACAACTGAAGCTGCAAGAAGTGGATGAGTTTCAGTTCCCGGGTCGATGATCCAAACTACGAAGAGACAAATGTCCGGGTGATTTGTTGTAGAAGGACTGAGACTATAATTAACCCCTGAAGAAGCTCTGTCTCATAAAGGTAGGGGACACTGGTTTAGTAGTTCCACACTATTGTCACTGAAGTCACTGAGTTTGACTTGTCTTTAGATGAATAAAAGAATTGCACAAATATGAGTCCTGGACTTGTATTCTCATCTGAATGTACCTCCTCAGAACTGGGGGCTGGATGTAGGAACTTCACAGTTACATCTTAAAGTAAATCACAGCCCAGTCCAAATAATTTCCACGCACTAAAACGTCTAGAAAAACTTGTTAAAATGTTCTGTTTGGAAAGTGAGACACGAGATCACGGAGATCTGCTGATTGCTCAAATCAAGTTCTTCAGCTGACGAGGTCTCATGAGACGTGACCGGTCCTGCTGTCTCCAACAACAATTTCTCTCCATCAAATCAAAAAGCATCAAAATGTGCAGCAGCTTCGTTCCTTAGGCAACAAAGCTGCTAAAACCTCGAGGACCTTCATGAGCTCACCGCTCGTTCCTCAGATCTTTCTCAGAACAAAAATGTACATAAAAAACTAAAATCTAAGATTTTGATGCCGTAACGACAATAAATCCTTTCTGTCCTTTATTCTGAAATGTGCTGTTAGATGTTGGCCCATTGAAGCAATAAACAGTGCATGAAGGCAAATGAAGCTAAATGAATTCATAGAATGGATCTGAATGTGTAGATTTATTGTCAGTTTGTGTTGAGCAGCAGTGAAATGAACTCACTTCCCCTCAGAGCCGTAGCTGTTCATGCTGTCCTCGATGGACTCGTGGCTGGCCTGGCGGACGGTCCGACTGGGCATCTCCACAGCCAAACCCGTCTCTGTGCTCCTCTGGATGGCTCCCTTCAGCTTCCTGCCATCGGTATCCACTGCAGGAGACAGACACAAAGAGGCTAAATGAAGCTGCCGTGCACGAGAGAACAGCTCAGACGTAAGGGACGGTGAGAACAAGCGTCAAGGATTCAAGCAATACAAAAACCAGGAGAGAGTATCTCGGTGTCTGCACTCTTCGCTTGTTGCTGTTGGTTTAGGGACCGATCGGTGCAGAAGAAATGAGAAGTCACTTAAACAAAGACACGGGAGAAAAGCATCCGATCCGTCCGAACATCAGGACAGAACACGAGACCAATGAGGTGCACGTCAGACCTCTGGACTTATCGACCTTTGGTTTGTTTGGACAGGATGCAGATTGTTCCTACAAGTGATTCTGTGGTGGTTTAATTAAGAGAATTCATTCTGAAGGCTCAAAAGAACCTGAAAAAACTTAAAAGGGGTTTAAAAAAAAAACTAAATCAACCGGAGTTTCATTCTGAAGCTGAAGTCGCTCTGCTTCCCATCCGGCTTTCTCCATTAAAACATGTCTGACGTGGAGCTCGCAGCTTTCAAGCCTGGTCGTCAGCTTCAGAATAAAAGTCGGGTTGTTTTTGTTTTTGAACCCGTTTCTGGATCGATCTCGACCCGGAGGAGCGAGAAGCTGAAAAAAGTTCACAGACAGCGAGACACAGATGAGAGTTGAACTTATTATCATGCAATCACTGAAAAAAGGCTTTAGGAAACCTGGCACACACACACATGCACGCGCACACACACACACTGAAGTACAACAGTAAAAGTTAGTTCTGCGATTATTAAAGCGTGACCCAGAATGCTGCTATTTCCATCATGTCCATGTGGGACGGACCGCTCGCAGATCTGGGTTACTTCTGCCTTCTCTCTCTCTTTCTATATAATCTGTTAATCTGTTAAATCACAAACAAATAACCATGAATTAACTCATGTCAGATTAAGTCCTGATAACGGAGCTACAGGTGAAACTGTATTTTTAATTTTTACTGCAGGGATTTTATTGTAGATTCTTGGTTTCATGAAGTTTTGTCCTCATGTTTTCAATATTTTATCATTAACTTCTCACAGACTCTCCCACTGGTACATGTTCATCTTTAAATCACTTCCTGGTCTGCTGCCTTCATACATCTCCTCCTACATGTCTCTGTGTGAGTGCAGCTACAGCGTGCGCTCTCAGGACATCATTACCTGCAGTGTTCCCTCAGTGAGGACTGAACTAGACAAAAGGACCTTCTCCTACTCTGCTCCTGTTTCCTGGAATATCTTGTAAAAAGATCTGAAGCTCTCGACCTTTGACCTCTCTAAGTGGCTTCAAACATCTGTTCAGTTCCTGGAAAAACCAACGCAGACATGTTCCTGTTTTCAGTTTTCTACAGCGCCTTATAATCTTGCTGTTTTATTGCTACTTTGCCTTTTGATTGTCACTTGGGTTGATATTTTAGTTTAACTTGTTTAAAAAATTTAATTTGTACGCATCCTTTATGATTATCTATTGTTGTCATCTTTCTTTGTTAAATCAGGTCTCTCTTGTAAACGAGTCCCCGAGGCTCAGTGGGACCAACCTGTAGAAATAAAGGTTGAATGAAACTATTTTCACTTTGCTCTTCATGCTTCAGGCCAACACTGAACCACGACAGTTAGAGGACAGAGAGACGGCTGCAGTCGGTGCAGGAGCTCATGAGGGACACACATTTAGAGCGTGGAACGAGTCGCTGAGGCTGCCTCATCCTGTCTGACCTGATTCTGCTTTCTGTCTCCGGCCGCGGCGTTCGAGCTCAAACAGCTTGTTTTTGGCGTCGTGGCTCACTGAGGCGGTTCTTTCAAATCAAACTTGTTCAAAACATTTTGAATTCAGGAACCTCCTCTGCAGCTGCAGGAAACAGGCTTTTACTGAACGCAGCAACTTGATTCTTGCAACAAATGTTAACATTGATCATGCCTGTCGGAGGGAATGCTGCGGCCTAAAAGGCTCGTGGTGCCGCTGACCTGAACAAACTCGTGCAAACTGACGGAGCAGTGGGTCGGGTGGAGCAGTGGGTCGGGTGGAGGAGTGGGTCGGGTGGAGCAGTGGGTCAGGTGGAGCAGTGGGTCGGGGGGAGCAGTGGGTCGGGTGGAGCAGTGGGTCGGGTGGAGCAGTGGGTCGGGGGGAGCAGTGGGTCGGG